GGTCGATCTGAGACAATTTTTTTTCCGGGCTCAAAAAAAGGCAGTGTATAACCTTCCTTTTTTACCAAAAATCGACTACACCAAAATTTCTCGGGAAAACACTTTTTCTTATTAATTTGGGTGCGTAGATCCAAATCAATTCGTACTTTTTCGATCAGACTTCTCAATCAAAAGTTATAGACTAGAAACCAATTTCGAAAGAAAATTCAAAGGGCTGTAACTTTTGAACTTGTAGCCCAATCTTGGAACTGTTTGAAATTATGGATTCTACAGGCCACATTCTATAAGAAAATTTTTTTTCCGGGTCGATCTGAGACATTTTTTTTTCGGGCCTCAAAAAAAGGCAGTGTATAACCTTCCTTTTTTACCAAAAATCGACTGCACCAAAATTTCTCGGGAAAACACTTTTTCTTATTAATTTTGGTGTGTAGAATCCAAAACAATTCGTACTTTTTCGATCAGACTTCTCAATCAAAAGTTATAGACTAGAAACCAATTTCGAAAAAAAATTCAAAGCGCTGTAACTTTTGAACTAGTAGCCCAATCTTGGAACTGTTTGAAATTATGGATTCTACAGGCCACATTCTATAAGAAAAATTTTTTTCCAGGTCGATCTGAAACAATTTTTTTTGGGGCTCAAAAAAAGGCAGTGTATAACCTTCCTTTTTTGTCAAAAATCGACCACTCCAAAATTTCTCGGGAAAACACTTTATCTTATTAATTTTGGTGCGTAGAATCCAAAACAATTCGTACTTTTTCGATCAGACTTCTCAATCAAAAGTTATAGACTAGAAACCAATTTCGAAAGAAAATTCAAAGGGCTGTAACTTTTGAACTAGTAGCCCAATCTTGGAACTGTTTGAAATTATGGATTCTACGGGCTAAATTCTATAAGAAAATGTTTTTTCCCGGTCGATCCTGTGCGGTTTGGAATACCCTCCTACTGCTCTACATTCTTCCCTAAAGGTTCAATATCCTAAGCACTTATGCCATGATTGTTCGAAGGAGTGTTTAAGGCTGAACGTTTTGAGGGTGCACGTATCACCGAGGAGTCTTATGTCAGCTAAATAACTTTCTTTTTCGTGGCGGTAAATAATTCAGGAACCTATAATTAGTGGGGATTGGTAGAACTAAAAACCTTAACCAATAGAAATTAATTAGTGGCGATCCCCATTAACAATCCGCAATTTTTGGGCGTGTTTTAGTTGGCGGTACTCTAGACTCAGTTTTAGTACAACGGGTTAGCGATAGGTTATTCAACCAGACCTAGAGAGGGGGTCGAAATTGTTTGAGACGTAAATCAGGGGCGCTAAAAACATAAGCGCCATTCAGAGCTAATTCAGTTCACTTGTTTCAGATCACAGAGCGAGCAGCAGCAGACGTCATAAGGTAAGTCGATTCACTTCTTTTACGCAAATGTGCGAAACAAACAAGCAAGATCGGGATAGTATAACAGGAGAATCGAAAATCCGTTTCTTGCGTTGATGAATGAGAAGCAAGTGAGAAAGCATGGATTCTGTTTCCTGTTTTCCTAATAACCATAATTTCTTCTGGTTCAGCGTTTGTATCGGGAGAGTATGAGATGAATATTAATTTCTGCTCTCCTCGTGCATCTATTGTTTTTATAAAATATGAGTGTATTAGGAGTATATGGTATGGAAGCCCAGCATTTTTAATTACCAATAATTTCTGCTGTGATAATGTGGCAAATTACCTTTAGGAGTGATGACGGTGCGACTTAAGAAACTATTATATGAAATGTGACAGGAAACCATAAGATGAGAATTAATTTCAGCAAGTGATTATTTTAAGAATCAGAAAAGTATCAGTTTTTTTGCTTCCTTAATATGTTGCTTGGTAAAAGCAGAGCAGTGTAAGGTACTGATAATATTATCAGGAGAATCTGAGATGAGAAACAGTTCATAACTATTTTCAAGAAAGCTTACGGTATCAGGAGAATAGGAAATGATGCGCAATAGCACAGAGCCAATTCTAGAATCTTGTGGTGCCCCATAGCTATTTTATGACCTAGTGCATTCCGCCTACGTTTGATTTCCAATTTTTGAAAACGGGCGCGGCACTCTTTCTTCAAACCAATGACGTAATCAATTGGGTTGACTACCGCATTTTTTCTTGAAAGCATATGCAAAACTCGCGATTATGTTACGGGCTAAATCCCGCAGATGCTTCGAAAGCACGATAAAAATTCCTCCCGTTCACATTTAATAAGATTTAATAATCCCGCCCGCATAGCTCTCCTACAAATTTTAATGGTCCCGGTATTACGAGAATTTCGCCGCTGAAATTCCCTGCGACGACGCAAGCAAATATTGTTATTAAATTAAACACCGGGTAAATAACGGTTTTCAATCCAATTTGGTACGGCTGGGGGAGGGAGGAAATTTAATGGATGCGGTTTGCGAATCTCGCGTAGGTAACCCCGAGCGCGTCCGTAAAAATCTATCGCTTTCACGTTTATTTACCGTAAACAGTCCCTTAGGAAGAAGGGCCGGGGGAAGTTTGAACTTGTAATTTTCTTACGCTTGCAACGTTTACAGATCCCAAAGTTTCACAATTAGCAGATTTTGCTTGGAGCTTCGGCTTCTTTTTGTATGCTTCAGTACTTTTTCGCTCAAAATCAGCACAAAACTTAAATTCCTATTCTGTTACTATACATTTTTGTATCAGGAGAACATAAAGTGAGAGGAGGTGACGGGATAATAATAATGACAATGTTGAAAACTTTGTCTGCATACCAGGAGAACATAAGCCTTGAGAAGAGGTATTCTTACGTATTATTTGCGCGTAACGAGATGATTACCGTATGCGACCAGGCTATCAGGAGAACATAATCTATGAAGAGGTTTCCTTCTAAGCTCAACACATTATAGTTAGAAGTTGATAATATGGTAGAAGGTGTTTTTTCTCCTATAAATTGAAAGGGTATCTGTTAGGACAACGTTGTAACATTTCTCTGGCCACCAGGAGAGCATAATTTATAAGGAGGGGGGTTTCTACTCCTCATTTGCGTGTGAGGATTAGCACTAATTCAGGATGAAAACTTTAGAACAATTTCGTAACCTTTATCTGGCTAGTAGGACAGCATAAACCATCAGGAGGTCTTTTTTAAGAGAAGTACCCATCATATCGTTTACGTACAAACCTTTAGGAGACTATGATCTGGGAGGAGGTGCTTTTCCTCTTATTCATGGGACGTACGTTAAGATATTAAATTTTCTTTAGGATTAGGAGATTATAATTTATGAGGAGGTCTAAGGTTTTAAGATTAAGGGAAATGCTTCGACGCCTTATTTGCCTACTAAGTTTTTATTAGGAAAATAGACTGTACACTGTGCTACGAAGTGTTTTTGGTCCTAATTCTAGGCGGCATCTACGGCATCAAGACCAAATTAGTACTCAAACCAAAAAAGGGAGTGCCATTTGTATCGAACTCGCCTCCGATTCGCTCGGCATCAGTCCAAATAAATTCTTACGCCAATACTGAGAGCCATAACGGAATTATGGCTCAAGCAAAATCAGCATCAGCATCCACTAAGACAATGTTGTGACTTTTTATTGAATACCAACATAAGGAGGTCTTTTTGGGTATAAACACACTCGAGGAGGTGCATTTGTCGACATTTACGACGTATCCTTTAGAATAATGTTGTCAATTCTTTCTTGCTACCAGGTTTTGCACATATTCTTTAACTTTTTCCTGGCTACCAGGAGAACATAATGCATTTGGAAGTCCCCTTCCATGCTCAAGAGGTATATGTTTCGACATTTTATTATTAGAAGAATATAATGTGAGAGGAGGTGCCTTGATCATCGGTTTGGATTATGTTGTAACTGGTTGTTAGCTACCAGGAGAGCATCATTCCCAAGGAGGTAGTTTTTAAGCTCAAGAAATATGTGCTAGCTCCTTATTTGCGTTTAAACTCTTATATCAGGAGAGGGGGAATTTTTACAACCAATTGAAGAGGGATATCTGTAACTTTTCTTGGGATACCAGGAGAACATGTTCCATTCAAATTTGAATTTTACAGTAAAATTTAGGTTGTATGTTCCTAAGGTAATCCACTTCTCCATTACTGTTATATACTGTGCAAAAGCCAAACATTTGCACATCTCTGCTTGAATCCATAACATACTGCTTCCGGGACAATAACTCAAGCGAGGGCGTACAGTTCCTATTAGTATTCGCGTTTAATTTCGTGCCGCAAGAGTAGAATCCACGGTTTCTATTCATGTATGCTAATAAGAGGGCGAATCGAGAATGGTATATCACCTCCGTATTGTTCGAATGGACAATTACGGGGCGCTTTTAAATTCATCACGTCGAGCTGCCGAAGTTAAAAATCACCCTCGCACTTGCCCTCGATTTCTCATAAACTGACACTTGACCGACGCTCGCGCGGCTTTTAAGGGGTTGCGTAAATGACGCGTGGAAAATGCGCCAGAGGATTTCTCTACCGCAAGTGAAACACGAATCCCATCACCGCATTTATTTCGCTAATTTCAAATCTCAATTTACGATCCTTACAAGCCAGTGGACGTCGACGAACGTGGTGCCGTTAGGATACATGAAGCCCAGCTCCGTTTTCCACTCGCCCGCCGGAAGCGCCGGCGGGAACTTGGTGACGTCCGGGCTCCAGCCGTCGCATCGGTAGTCGGTCTGGAAAAAAAAGCGAGGGGTGATTGTCGCCGGTGTCGTCGTCGCTTACGCCGACAACGAGCGGCCACTTCGCCACCGGTTTGAAGCACTTATTGAAGAGGCTGTCCAGGTCGAAGCTTTTCAAGCCGAGCACCTCTCGAAGGGTGGTCTTGATACTGATGCCGCTGAAGACGAAGTTGTTGTTGACCTTACGGTAGGCTTTGATCAATACCTGAAAGCGGCCGATTGGTTTTATGCAACGTGGAGGATTCATACCTTGGAGGTGGGGGGCACGGGCTCCTTGAGCTTGAAGTTAACGCACAATCCATTCGAAATCCTCCCTTCTGCGTTGATGACACCTTTGTTGCAGTTGTGAAGACTTAGACTGTCTTGGATGATCTTATAGCCCGCCTGGAACATGCGGGCGCGTTAATTTTGGATGTGGTTCACGCTCCCCCCCCCCCCCCCCCCCCGATTCTTTATTCTTCACGAAGCCTCCAAATGAAATTTAAAACAGACTTACCACCCCACGAATGCACGCCACCGCACCGAGCACAACTACCAGGCAACCTCTCATCGCAAGGTTTCATGGGAATTGGAGGTAAATCCACTAACGGACGACTCTGTTTAGAGGAGTATTTAGCTGTTAAATTTAGTGTAACCGAAGTAATGGCGTATTGTTGTCGTAGCTTATCTGATAAATTTGTTTTTTAATGACCCATTCTTTCGTTTATATGATCCTGATACATCAGTTTTAAGCAGACGCGTTTTTTTCTAATTTTGCACAGATTGGTGGCGAAGATCTATCCGTTTCTGGTATTTTTGTCTTTGCAATTTACATGCCGATTAGGAGAGCAGAATAGGTAGACCCTTTTATATTCCTGGGATCTTCTTACAAGAATTTTTAAAAAAATAGGGAAACATAACACCTGAGGGGTGGTTTCGGGAGACATAACCCGTAGACCCTTACCTTGCAAATTTGCATCAGGGAATCAGAAAAAAAAGGTATTTGTCAATGAATCCTAATTCAACAAAACACTTTTTTGCATTTGTACTTCACGTATTTCTCTCGCAGCCATTTAAAAGACAATAAGGTTTGGAGGTCTTCCTTTTGAGATTGAAAGTTCACATCATACACCATGTTCTCCTGGTACCACACAACACATTTTTCGACAATAATTAGTCTTCTTCTTAGCAATCCATCAATGTAAGTTGCATAATCCTTCCTTGTGGAATTAGAGAAATGTTCCAAATTCATTATGTTCTCCTGGTAGTTACATTCCAAAGGTAATGAACATAGAAGTAATAATCAAGTTCAGAAACCTTCCTTCTGAGAAAAGAAAAAGGTCCTTTTAGTTATGTTCTCCTGGTAACTAAAGTAGATTTACGAATATCCAGGTGTAAAATACTGAAAGGGTACTGATTTCCTTTCGAAAGATACCTCTTTATCCCTTACGTTTTCCTCGCGACAAAAAGATAACGGAGGAATTATCTTAAAATTCATTTTTCACAACGAACCTATCAGCTTGTATTTCTGTGATCCCTTCACATCAATTTTCAGAAGGTATACCTCGTAATACGCCGACATACTTCACTAAAATGTGTTTGACAATCTTCTGCTCTTCAGAGTTTCTAATATTGACAATTTGTAAAAGGAAGCTTATATCAGGAGAGAAGAATGTGCGATATTTAGTCTGAAAATTCCCTCTTAGCGTAGAAATTTATATCAGGAGAACATGACACCCGATAAAGTGACTGATGCTTAATTTTAAACAATCCTGCGTTTCTGTGCTCCTGATCTTGACGACTTGTAGGTTGAAGTTAGCATCAGGAGAACAGAACATATCAAATTCCGTGTGACAATGAATTTTACAACCTTTTGCTTTGCTGGTGTCCTGTTACAATGACTTCGCAGTAAAATATTCTCATCGGAGAAGGTGGTGACAATTAACTTTCATCATTTTTACATTTCGGTGATCCTTAGTTTGCACATTTCCGCCAGGGAATCACAATAAACGAGATATCTGCCAATGAATCTTATTCTGCGACCTTTATCTTGTCAATTGGCGGGATATAAAGTTACATTCTCTTACGTTTCTAGGAATTTTTCACGATAATTTTGATACAAAAATTTACATCTAATAAATATAACACATTTCTGTGATCCTAATACATCCAGTTTTATCACTTCTGCAAAGCCGCTTAGTTTTGAACCTTCTTGAATTTCTGTGGTCCTGATCTTTGCAGTATGCAAACGGAGCGATTTGCTCAGGTCTCCTGATGCTAACTTCTACTCACAAGTCGTCAAGACGACGCCAAATTTATTTCAAATTAAGCATCCGGGGAGCAGAACATATCAAATTCTGCGTGACAATGAATTTTACAACCTTTTCCTTTGCTGGGGTCCTGTTACAATACGTTTTAGGTAAAATATTCTCATCGGGGAAGCATAATACCTGAGAAGGTGCCAACTTCGTCGCTCAAAGGAAGTTGGTATCAGGAGAGCAGAGAGAGAGTGTTGTTTGCGAACTGATTTTCCATCTTCTATTTCACACAAATGAATTTTAACGTATAATATGCGTCAGAATGTGTTGAACATCCGTTACTGAGAGCCTGTCAATCAACTTTAAAGTAGTGCCAAAGAATATCATGTCTAAGGACATTCATGGGATCGCGAACTTATCAAGGTATCCAAATGTTATTTAAATCAGGAGGGCAGAATAACAGTAGATTTAGCACCCTCTCACGTTTCTGGAATCCTATCAGCATAATTTATGTCAGATAAATTCATGCCAGGGTAACATAATTACCGGCCCGTGCGGCGCAGTTCAATTGAAGCTGAAGACAAACATAATTCCTGGTAATTTCTGTCATCCTGATACAGATTGTGTGGGAAGATGTCACTTTTGAACCTTCTTGCCTTTATGCAATCGTGACATTGACAAACTCTAGCAGGAAGTCTGTATCAGGAGAGCAACATCAGGGAGACGCGTGATCATTTAACATCGGGAGATCTGAACAGTGGCCTGATACTTAATTTCAAACGATCTTCAACTTCTGTGGTCCTGATCTTGACAATTTATAAAAGGACGTTCATATCAGGAGAACAGAATATTTTGTTTGGCGATGAATTTAAAATCCTTTTATTTTTCTGAGATCCTGTCTCGACAATTTCTAAATGAAAGATCCTTGTCTAAGAGACGTAATACATAAGAAGAGACTGCCAATTGATTTTACATGTTCTTTCGTCTCTATGATCCAGATACATGAATTCCAGGAAGACATATTGTGTATCCTGCATAATGCATTGGGAGGTCTTTTAAATTCTAATAGCGAAATTTGTATAAAAGAAACATAATAGCTAATAAGACGCGTTTCTTATTAGGGCGCGAGACAATGATTGACGACAATCGTAATAGCAATTTGTGGAAAGGGATTTGTATCCTTGGAGAAACTTTCGGTAGCGATCCTAATGGTAATGATAACGCCAACTAACTTGTTACATGCCTGTGACCCTAATACAATGAATATTAAAAAAGAAATTGGTATCATGCTACCGAAATGGTTCGTTGCGCTTCTGTGCTGTTAATTTCAACAATTACTACAAGGAAATTTTATATCAGGAGACCATAATAAAGTTTTATGCGATCCTGATTCTTGAAATTTGTATCAGGTGAACTTGTTTCAGTATGCAAGCACAACCTATAGCTCGACCTTCTCGCAGTTCAAACGTCATAAAAGTGTGATAAACATCCAGAGAGTTTCCGTAAAAAGATAAAAGGTCGGAATGCCTTTTGTTTCGTTGGAAACAAACTTGAGAAAAGCTACAGACGTAAATCTCTCCGAGTTATGGCTACACGTAGGTTTCCATTAACGAAAACGTGCCACGCAAAATTTCCACTTTCCCTTTGTGCGAGACACCTACGATTTTCTGTGTGGTCGCTGATCTCCGTAACGATAGAAACCGTTTGACTAAGATCAACGTCACCGCTTTTTTCTGTCCATCAAGAAACAAATGGCCGACCCCCAAACTACTTAACAACATCAGTAGTTCTCAAACTTTTTCTTTTCATTTAGCAACTCATACAATTTCCCGCCTCTCCCTCTGATTTCCAGGTCAACGCACGCGGCCTGTTTTCCTGATATTCAAATTCACGAAAATCTGTTTACATGATATTCTCCTGATATGAAACTTCGAGGAGGTGTAAGCGAGAATGAAGCACAAAAACCTTCCTTTTGGGTTAGAAAATACTTCCCATTTATCATGTTTTGCGTTCCTGTGATCCTGATCTTACCTTTAAAAAAACGCTGTATCAGGAGAGCAGAAAAAGTGACATGTTGCCAGCCGATGGATTCTACACCTTTTTGCGTTGCTGGGATCGCATCTCTCCAACAAGGTGCAATTCAGGCAAACACAATAGGTACTCGAAAAGGCGTCTTACGTTAGTTTTGCAACTTCTCGAGTTTCTGGGGTCCTTATATATCAATTTTCAGAAGGTATCAGGGGAGCAGAAGATACGAAATGTTTGACAATGAGAGGGGCATTATAAATTACTCATGGTAAATAAAACTTGAGAAGCTAGATTTTTTATCAGGTGAACATAATATTAGGGTATGTCTGACAGTCAATATTGAACCTTTCTGAGTTCCTGATCTTGTTATTTTACGTATCAGGAGAGCGGAATGGCTGGCTAGCTATGAATCTTACACCCTTTATTCTGTATCAGGTCAACATAATGCGGGAGAGGGTTCATAAGAAGTTTTATTTTTTTATCGAAACCTGTCTATGATTTTGAGGTCCTGATTCAACAATTTGTGGGTGAGAATTTCATGCGGCTATAATTCATAACACAATGATTGTTGATCAATTTTGAACAATCTTGTGTTTCTCTACTGCTATTATTCAAAAGAAGCTTGTATCAGGAGAACAGAGTAGGTGACACGTTGCCTTACGTTTCTGTAATTAATTTTACACTTTCTAGCGTATCCATGACTCTTATACATCAATTCTCAAAAGATACACTTTGTATCAGGCGGACATAATGCATGAAAAGTTGGCTGACAACCAATTGGGAACATTTAAAAATCTCCTTAACGGTACTGCACTGCTCGTCAGGTTAAATGTAACTGTAATCAATAATTGTTCGAAGGGAAACGGAATTCTTACCACGATAACGCACGCCACTGCACTGAAAACAATTACTATGGAAGAAACGTTCATCGCACAGCCTTAACTTTGCAAGACTACTGCAACGAGGAATTGTTTTATTGCGAATATTTTAGTTGTTAAATTTACTGTAACCGAAATAACGAGAGTCGGGAAATTGTCGAGGTTTATCTGATAAATTCACAAAATGCCGTAATTACGTCCTTCTCCTCTTTATTGCCGAACAAAGCAGCGTTTTAGCTTCCGTCGCTCGTAGACCGTAAAAATTGTTGCGTCATTATGACACTTCGGGCCTCTCATAGAGTCTCCAAGGGTGGAATCTTTGTTTCGCAACTCGCCCCGTGCCTTGTTCCCTTCAGAGTCTTCGGCCTTTCCAAATTGTTCAAATTTTTCGAAGAGAAATAGCCAAATAATTGTCTGAAACGTTCCTGGGATCCTGTTACAATAATTTTTAAGAAGTAAATGTATATTAGGTAAACAATGGTTGAGACAGGCTTCCTACCAAGCCTAACAGATGAACCTTTTTGCGTTGATATAGTCTTGTTCTTGACAATTTGTAAAAGAAAGTTCCTATTAGGAGAGAAGAATAAGAGAGATCTTGTGGGGCAGTGTTTGACACTCGCCTCTGATTCTGGTATTTTGTTACAATAATTTTTTAAACCAAAAAAATATATCGGAGAAGCATTACAAACGCGAAGATGACGAAAATTGCATTTCTGTGATCCTGGTACCTACATCAATTTTATGACGATGGAATTTGTATTAAGCGGGAATAATGCGTTAAATGTGGTCAGAGGACCAATATCGAAGTATCGTGTGGCTTATTTTAGAAAAAAGTTTGTATCCGGAGAGCAGAATAACTGAGATGTTGCCTGGCAGTCAATTTGACACCCTCCTTCGTTTCTGGTATCTTGTTAGTACAATTTTTAAGTCAAAAAATATGTATTGGAGAAACATTACAAAAGCGAGAAGTGACGAAAATTACATTTCTGTAATCCTGACATCAATTTCTTGAAGATGGGATTTGCATCAAGCCGGTATAATGTGTAAGAAGTGGTTTGACGCCCAATTTTGAATATTTTGTGTTTCTGCGCTCCTAATCGTTCCACTTTTTCAAACGAGGGTTGTATACGGAGAGCAGACATAATACTTGAAAAGATCTTTGGCTAATAATTTGGTACCTTCTTCGGTCTTTTGCTCTAGACACAAACATTTTAAGAAGATAGCTATAGTACAAGTCGGATATGATACTATAGAATGCATAGAACAAATTTTTAACCTTCTTGCGTTTCTGTGATCCTGATGAAAATGGTAGTGCTTGGAGGCGAATCTTTGAACCTTGCGTTCTAGTTATGCTAGTCTCACTAATTTTAGGCAATGTGTACCAGGAGAGCAGCATAAATTTACACCTTTTGGCGTATTAGAGATCCTTACAAAAATGTTTACGACGGAAACTCACATTTTAGAATCTCCTTTTCGCCCCTTTCTACAGCACATATTAATTACAATAAGGAACCGATGCTGTAATCCTGATATAATGATTTTTTCGGTTAGACATTGACTTTGTGACACCACAAAATGCATATTTTCTCCAATACCACCTTACAGCTTACTGTAATCCTGTTACCTTTACGACAAGTGTTTGATGTCAGGAGAACAATTAATGCAAAGCCTAGTAGCATTTTCTGACTCTATAATCCTGATATAATTCCGCAAGAGTTTGGTTCAATGAAAATAAAAAGCGCATTTATCTTCCTGTAACCCTGATATAATAACCTTCGCACCAAGGAATTAATACCAGATTAAAACAAAACGCAAGGTTTTCACCAATATCATTTTCCACCTACCCGTAATCCGCACGAGTTTAATACCAGGAGAATAGAAAATGCATATTTCTTTCTGTAACCCTGGTATAAGTATCTTCACTACAAAAAGTTGCTACCAGAAAAAAGGAAACTCAAGGTTTCGCCAGTAGCACCTACTGGCCATCTGTAATCCCGAACGGCCCCTTCCACTAGCGTTTAATACAAGGAGTACAGGACGCATATTTCGTCCTGTAACCCTGGTGTAATTACCTTCACAGCAAGTGATTGATGCTAAATAAAAGAGAGATATATGGTTTTCGCCAGTAGCACTTTCTGACTATCTGTAATCCCGATATAACGGATTCTTTGGCGAAATTGATGCCAAAAGAACAGAAAGCGCATATTTTTTCCTGTAACCCTGGTATAATTAACAAGAAATTCATCAGAGAAGAAAACTAAATGCAAGGTTTTCGCCAGTAACACTTTCTGACTACCCGTAAGCCCGAAATAATGACATCTTCTACAAGAGTTTGATACCAGGAGAACAGAAAACGCTCGTTTCCTCCTGTAAGCCTGGTATAATTACCTTCACGAGAAGCAATTGATGCCAGAAGAAAACGAAACGGAAGGTTTTCTCCAGTAGCAGCAGTAGACTATCTGTATTAACCGATATGACTGATTTTTCCGCAAGAGTTTGATAGCAGGAGAATAGAAAGCGAATATTTCTTCTTGTAATCCTGGTATAATCACAATTGATACCTGAAGAAATCAAATTGCAACAATTTCGCCAGTAGCGCTTTCTGACTGTCTGTAATTGCGTTTTAACGGCGTCTTGCGCAAGGGTTTGATACCAGGAGAACGGAGACCCCATATTTCTTCTATTAACCGTGGTATAATCGCCTATACAGCAAGGAATTGTTGCCAGAAGACAACAAATCGTAAGGTACTCGCCCGAAGCACCTTCTAACTGTCTGTAAACCCGATATAACTGATTCACCCGCACGCTTTTGATGCCAGGAGAATAGAAAGCGCATATTTTTTAATGTAAACCTGATATAGCTGCCTTTACAACAAGAAATTGATTTCAGCAAGAAACCCAATGCAAGCTTTCACCTGTAGCACTTTCTGACTATATGTAATCTTGATATAATTGCTTCTTTCGGAATAGTTTGATACCAGGAGAACAGAAAACGCATATTTCCTCCTGTAACCCTGGTATAATTATCAAGGAATTGATGCCGGCAGAAAACAAAATGCAAGGTTCTCGCCAGTAGCACCTGATGACTATCTTAATCCAGATAGCGCTTCTTCCCCAAGTGTTTGATACCAGGACAATAGAAGCTCATCCTCTAACTGGTACAATAACCTTCACCGGAAGGAATTGATACCAGATAAAAGAGAAATGAAAGATTTTCGCCAGTCTGTAGCACTGTCTGTTCATCTGTAATCCTAATATAACGGCTTTTTCCGCAAAAGTTTGATACCAGGAGAATAGGAAGCGCATATTTCTCCCTGTAATTCTGCCACGATAGAGAACTATCAAGAACACCCTTCTGGCGTCCTGTAATCCTGTTGTAAGGATTTATAGTTCAAAATTTAATACAAGGAAAGCATAAAACTCGCTTTAATTCAACTTCTCTGTTCTTGATACTGTGACGTAATAGTTTTCCTAACAGGAATCTGTAAACCTGGAACACAAAGCTTTGTCTGACTTTCTCTAATCACATATATAGCCAATAAGCTGTTCGACAAGAATTAGTTACCAGGAGAATAGAAAGCGCAATCCGTATACTTCTCCAAGTAACTTTTGGACAAGAATTTTAATACAAGAAAACCGAGAATGCAAGTTATTGACCAATGAATTTTTTCGATTTTGAAATTTGAAAAATAGTACCTTCCGGAGGTCTGAACTCCTGATAAAATAATTTTTCCGGCAAGAATTTTATTACTAGGATACCAGAATGGTCAATGTAGGTTTCTGGATTCCTTTAATCTTGATATAATAATCTCTTCACATGAATCTTAGTACCAGGCAAACAGGAAGAGCAAGTTAATTACCTGTGAAACCTTCTGGCACCTTGATATAATAATTTTCTCAGCACGAATTTTTTACCCGGAGAATAGAAAATCTTTGTCAACGACTTTTATATTTACCCTTTTTCATTTTTCTGCTCCTGATACAACAGGAGAAATGTGTGACGAAAAGGAAAAAATAAATGAAAAGGTATTTGGCAGTAAATTTTAAATTTTTCGCGTCTCTGCTCATTATTCAATATATTTAAAAGTATTAGGACAACATAATGTGTGAGAAGGTTTTTCTTCAATATATTATACAGATTTTTACATTTCTCTGCTGTAGATACAATGTTTATGAGAGAAAGAATTGGGACTATGGTGTATTTTTCAATTAATTATGAGATTTGTATTAGGAGAACATGACACGATAGCTGCCAAAGTTAAGTGAAGATTTACACATACTCCATAAGCAATTTGAACGACATCTCCATTACCCTTGTCTTGTTTGCAAACGCCATCCCTACGACAGTTAGCCATCTTCCGTCGGGCAGATTAGGCGGGTAGGAGGAGCAATCAATGGTGATACCGCTGACCTGGTACGCCACCTAAAAACTGACACTAATTGAAAGACATACAACTTCGAAGGGGTGCTCTTGCATTTTTTTTCACCGGCCACGTAAACGGGGGGCGGGAGTGCTCCATGCAAAATTTTTGGATTCCAAACAGTTGCCACTGTATAATACTCTTGAGGGGCTTTTCAATGTGCATTATTGTTATTTTGTAGCCGTTTTTCACCCACTTTTTCGTCGTGAAGGTCATCTGCGACAAAAGTGCTATGTAAAAAGACCAAAGGGCAGGTTTACCAACTTTGAAGCTGTCGGGTAGATCTATTTTGAATAAATTCGTGACGCTAATGACATTTTTAAAGGTGGAATTGTGATCGTAGATGGAGGCACGGGCAGTCATACAGCGCTCGTCTACGTAATCCACTGTGGCACTCTCGAAGGTGATCCTGCATTTGGGGCCCTAAAATCCTACCACCTTTAGGAAAAGGTACGCTTAACGCAAACTTACAAAGGCGTAGCTGAGCGACAACAGCGATAGAAAACGGAGGGTTCTCCAGGTTACCATTGCGTTGTTGGTTCGCATTGTGAAGAGTATAACGAGACTTTAATCGCTCTCGCTTTTGGTTCACTGCCATATCACTTAATAGTCGCATTTCAATCGAAACGAACTATAAATTATACACCAGCCGTTAATGGTGTGGTTACTGGGGCGTGGGATGCCCTTGGTGGTCTAAATAAAATTATGCCTCTATTGTGAAAGGAGGAGAGGGCAAGATTTTACACAGATTCTATCTTAAAAAAGTCAGAAAAACCCTTAGAAAATTGAAAGAATGCATCTTGTGTGTTATGTTCTCCTGATACATAATTTAATTAGCCAAATAACGAATCTGAAAGAAACCTGCTAATAGTACCCGTGTTCTCCTCCCTCTGCTCATAAGGAATTACAAGAGCGACTAAACTCTATACAGTAGATTGAGAAATAACTTTGCAGCTATGTTCTCCTAATACCTAAGATATTAAACTGCAAGGGTGTCCTAAAAACGGTTTATTAAATTGAGAAATACACTTTCGCGTTATGTTCTACTAATACTTAAGGTAATAATTCGCAAGAGCGACTTAAAATAGATTGAGAAACACACTTTTGCGCTATGTTCTCCTAATACTCAAGACTACAATTTGCAAGAGCTGTCTGAAAACTGACCGGTAGATTGAGAAATACACTTTTGTGCTGTGCTCTACTAATATTCAAGAAAAGAAACTGCAAGATCGACTTAAAACTGTCCACTAGATTAAGAAATACGCCTTTGCGCTATGTTTTCCTAATGCTCACGATAAGAAATTGCAAGAGCGGTATAAAAGCTGTCCAGCAGATTGAGTAATACCGTTTTGCGCTCTGTTCTCCTAATACTAAGAAAACGTCTTTTTTATGTTCTATTCGTCTCCATAGCTTCCATAGCTATAGCAAAGTCATCCACGAATAATTACAGCATAATCCTGAAAACGTCTCAGCAAGTTGAGAGAACCCTCTTGAATGTTATGATCTCAACTATGCAATTAGACAGTTATAGTATACTAATATACAATTTTATCTAACAATATTTGCAGCAGAAACGTAGGGACGTCTCAGAAAGTTGAGAAATCCCCCTTGAACGTTATGTTCTCCTGATACTTAAGACAGCTAAGTGATTAAAATGTTATAATAGACTAAATTTCAGAAGTTGCTACCTTCTAGAGCACCGACAAGGGTCGCCTAGCTCTAGTAACGCATTGAGATAACCCCTTTGAAAGTTATGCTCTCCTGACACTTAATTCAACTAGGCGATTGGAGGGTGTTGTAATACAGAAAAATGCAGAATGAACGAAATCATTTAAGAATAATTGCTGCAGAAACTTAGGAACACCTCGGCCTTTGAATGTTATGTTCTCCTGATACTTAATGCAAATATGCGATTGGACAGACTAGTAAGCAGGAAGCTAATTTCTAGAGCATCGACTAAGACTAATTGCAGAAAAACCGTAGGAGCGCCTTACTAAAAAGAGAAGTAGTCTTTCAATGTCATCTCCTGGTACTTAATTAAAGTAGGCTAAAAAGCCTCTGAATTATAATGCTTTTTAGTCGACTGACATCTAATTAACTTCAAAAAAGATTCTAGATTATGTTTTCCTACTACTCAATCTAATATTGCACAATGAGATTGTTGCGGCGAACTAAAGTCAGAAAATTAACCAGCATTTTCCGTTGACGAGTAACTGCAACATCTAGAAAACCTAAAAAAAGGAAAGCGATATACTTACCTGAGTATTAGGAGCAGAAAGACCTGCTCGCATATTTTTTCTCCTGATATGTTTTTTTAAAAATCACAGTACTCTATTGAAGAAAATTTGTGGGTCATAGAAAAAAACATCATTGACCATGATGTTCTGCTGGTAACCAGATAGTCTTTGGATTAAGAACGAAAAACACCTCTTCGTCCTTCATGTTAACCTGATAACTATAAAAACCTTACAAGAGCTTTCGAACATACGTTTGGAACAGAAAACCTCCTCACAAATTATATTCTCCTAATACAAGATTTGTAAAGGATTATCAGGCAGACTTTTCTCTACCTGAAAACGTATTTTTTCCTGCAGGGTAGGTTTCACCCCCTTGAATTGTTGTGCAAGCGAATATATCCGCTGGATCTCAGTTTTTTAAGGTTTAATTTGTCTGCCCTTAAGGTTTTCACCCCTTTATGGCAAATTCCCCGCTCGTATAAGGGAATGGGGGCAGACTTCTTACTTATTCTCTACCTGAAAACGTATTTTTTCATGTAGGGTAGGTTTCACCCCCTTGAATTGCTGTGCAAGCGAATATTTCGCTGGATCTCAGTTTTTTAAGGTTTAATTTTTCTTGCCCTTGAGGTTTTCACTCCCTTATGGCAAATTCCCTGCCTTATAAGGAAATGGAGACAGACTTTACTTATTCTTTACCTGAAAACGCATTTTTTCATGTAGGGTAGGTTTCACCCCCTTGAATTGTTGTGCAAGCGAATATATCCGCTGGATCTCAGTTTTTTAAGGTTTAATTTTTCTTGCCCTTGAGGTTTTCACTCCCTTATGGCAAATTCCCTGCTCTTATAAGATAATCGATACAGACTTTTTACTTATTCCATACCTGAAAACGTATTTTTTCCTGTAGGGTAGGTTTCACCCCCTTGAATTGTTGTGCAAGCGAATATATCCGCTGGATCTCAGTTTTTTAAGGTTTAATTTTTCTTGCCCTTGAGGTTTTCACTCCATTATGGCAAATTCCCTGCTCTTATAAGATAATCGATACAGACTTTTTACTTATTCTCTACCTGAAAACGTATTTTTTCATGTAGGGTAGGTTTCACCCCCTTGAATTGTTGTGCAAGCGGATATTTTTACTGGATCTGAGTTTCTGAACTTCATTTTCAATATCATAAAGTTTAAGCGTTTGCTTTTAAAAAAGGTTTCACTCCCCCGTCGAAAACTTCCCCTTCGATATCACTGGAGTTTAAGTGTGACTTTTAATATTTTTGCTCTAAAACGGTTTTCACTCCCCCGCGTGCGAAAGGGGTCTTCTCCCTTCAGGGCGGGGTTCACCCCCTTGAATAGTAGTGCAAGCGAGTTTTCTTAATGTGTCCCCTTTGGGAGGTTTTCAGTCTCTCGTTGTACGTTTGTTTGTACTATGTTTCCCTTTAGGCTAGGGAGTGAATCCCTTGCATTGCATTGCAAACGAATTTCTTTGCTAAATCTAGGTTTTTGGACCTTTAATACCACTAGAGTTTAAACAACACCTTTTACTCTTGCCCTTAAAAAAGGGGGAATAAAAGCGCGCCTTTCATAGGTTCTCTCCTCTAAAGCGCATTTTTTTTTACTTTAGTGTAGGTTTAACCTTCTTGAAGCTGGTTCTGAATTTCTGAACCTTTTTGGTATCTACTTTGCACTTCTTGTGTCGTAAACTTTTGAAGATTGGGGGAGGGGGTAGGTAAACACACGTTGTACCCTTCATGGTGTTCTAATGAAAGGTCTAATCGAAAAGAATTGGTTTCTACAGACTGTACCTGTTTTCCGCGACTCATTTTGGTGTTCAGACTTGCTCATAACCGCAAGAGTGGAGGGTCGGAGCGGGGTACTCACAAAGGGACAATTTGGGCGCCTGGAAGGTCAAAACCTGCATCTACTAGGTATACATTCAGTGAAACTACCCTCAAGGTGCAGTTGGAATATCCGGACGAGACATCTACTGGCGATGTGAAGACTCAGTTGTGAATATCTTGAAAATGGAGTGTCGGAGGTGGGTATTTACAAAGGGAAAATGAAGTTTTGCGGAGAATTTCTCTAAGGGTTTGCATTAAAAAATGCGCTTTATCTGCGCAAGAGTAGCGGTTTCTTCGTTTTCAGGGTAGGTTTCTAGATTAAGCAGGTCGTTTCCTCTGTGTAAATTTCACGCATAAAATCGCAAAAAAAGAAAATTAAAATGAAAAACGTTCGGCCTTAAAACTTCGTCCACTTTAATGACATCGCTTCTTAATTTCTTTAAACGACCCCATTAAAATTCGCATGTTGTGATTAGTCGAAGCGTTAAGGTACTAAAACCCTCATTACCCCTTTAATTTTTAATAAAGCGCACGAAACGCGTCCATGACGTGAACGATTTATATTTCTCCGGGCCGGATCCAAAAGGGCATCCGTCGAAGGCACTCGTCATCGCGTCCAATTAAAAAATTAGATCGGCTTGCATCCTCAACCCCATCCCTCTTGTCCATTCGTTTGATTGTTAATTTGTAGGTCATCCAATTTGAATAACCTCTAATTAAATTTTCTTCTCCCGCGCCCCCTCCGCCCGCTCTCCTATTTAATCTAATGAAAGCTTACACTGTGTTCGCAAATTGAAAACAACATGAATGGAAAACGTTCCGGTTCTTTCCCTTCTTTAATTACGTGAATTAATTCTATTTTTATGTTGGGCGTATTGCAACTTTTTCCCGGACAATTGACTATGAAGACTATGAAGATTGTAACAATTTTACAGGGACGAAGGGTTAAACATAATCTTGTCATTTAAACAGTGAAGTTTCGGGTTTAAACCAGGAAACCTGCAAATCAAAAACCTAGACCCCGAACCTAGATCCGGATTCGCAAAGACGAATTTCAAATTCCACGCCCGAGGAATTGGGGAGTTGCACCTGAATCTTTATTTTTTTGGCCCACGTACCCCACCCTGTGGCGCCCCAATATTACAGCCAAGAGCAAATTGTTTTCTAGTCTATAACTTTTGATTGAGAAGTCTGATCGAAAAAGTACGAATTGATTTGGATTCTACGCACCCAAATTAATACAAAAAAGTGTTTTCCAGAGAAATTTTGGTGTAGTCGATTTTTGTAAAAAAGGCAGGTTATACACTGCCTTTTTTGAGCCCCGAAGAAAAAATTGTCTGAGTTCGACCGGGAAAAAACATTTTCTTATAGAGTTTGGCCCGTAGAATCCATAATTTCAATTGGTTCCAAGATTGGGCTACTAGTTCAAAAGTTACAACCCTTTGAATTTTTTTTCGAAATTGGTTTCTAGTCTATAACTTTTGATTGAGAAGTCTGATCGAAAAAGTACAAATTGATTTGGATTCTA